TACAGTAAACGTCCAGAACAGGAAAATCTATAGAGACAGTATATTAGTGGTTGCCAGGTACTGGAGTAAGAGAATGGGAACTGACTGCTAATAGGTATAGGGTTTCTTTCAGGGGTGGTGAAAACATTCTAAAATTAGATAGTGCTGATGGTTGCACAACTCTGTGAATAATATACTAAAACCACTGAACTGTACACAGTAAAAGAGTAAATTTTATGGCATGTAAATTATATCTCAATATAGCTTTTATAAACACAAAGAATTAAATAGCCAGCTTCTTTGTTCCCAGTGGTCAAGAAATTTTCAGCTTTAAATAACAACTAAGTTATAAAGAAGAAATTGGCGTGATGTATATTCTATTATGAACTAACTACTACTTCCTATTTGCCCAAGAATGAAAAATAACTATAAGAGGATGCAATTGAAATCCATTTTTTACTCTTAAGTGGATGAATGGTAATTTTTTATTTACACTCATCTCTGAGATTGAAGTCCTTTTATAAAGGGATTTTATATCTTATGGGAAAAGCCTTTTGATCATTGAATACAAAGTTCTTGTTTCTAAGAATCTCTTTTGCTTAGTCTGGTTTAAGTGTAACCTGTTTTGCTTATTCATTCATGCTGTTTGTCCTAAGTCATGGTTTTGCTTAGGACAAAGGTATGAAGTTGGTAGAAAGGGAACTGCCATTTAATGAGGCTTGTAATATGTCAGACACTGTGAGACACTCTACTTACATTTCCTGTCCAATGCTCACAGTGTCCCCACCAAGGAATATTTACTGTCTGTTCTTTGAAGAGGAAAAACCAGGCTGACAGGGGTGAATGAATAGACCAAAGCCACATAGCCCTAAGTGGCAGAACCCAAAAGAGCCTGTGCTCTTTGCTCAACATCAGACTGCCTTCCAGAGTTAGTTCTCTGCAGTTCTTTAGGTCCTTTACACCTTTGGTGAAGGCTAAAACTGTGGCTACTTGTAGAGTTTAAGTTGAAGGTGACTTTCAAAGGACAGAAAGTGACACCACACATTTTCCAAATTTATCTTCGATTACTCCTAATTGTTCAACATTTGTTCATCAACAATTTGTTAAGAATCCACCATGTACCTAGCCTTGTGCAAGCATCAGTTATCTCAAATAATTATATGAATAGGTCCATCTGGAGAAGAATGAGGAAGGGGTGCCTCTTTTCTGCTCTAGCCAAAGAGCAAGGGCACAGTGGCCCAGGACAGAGCCTGCCCCACCCAGCACTGTTGGGCTAATGCATGCACATGTGCATACCTGATCTGTCCTATAAAGTATGCTTGACCTTGAGCTTTGTGGAGGCAGCAACCATGTCTGTTTTGTGCCCCACACAGAGTCTGGCCCAGAGCTGGTGCTCAGTGATGGTTGGATAAATGATTAAGCAATTCCCTTTACCAGTCCACTAGAACGTGGACTGGTCACTTCAATGCTCTGTTCCTTCATTTCCTCATTTCTAAATGGTGATGAAGAGAGTACTCATTGCACATGGCAACTTTGAGATCACATGAGACAATACAATGCACACAATTAGCACTCAATACACTGTAGTTTTCATTCCCATTATTACTATTGGGAGGGATGAGAGGCACATCCTTCTATGGCAACAATAACCTCCCATCCCTTTTTACCTGGTGGCCTGCGTTTTTATTTCTAAAAGCAGAGCTGAAGGCTGGCTGGTCCAGCTACATGGAGCTCACTCTGCTCTGTTGGGGAAATCTTGGTCTGAAACCCTGAGGATGAGAAGGACACAGTAAGCCTGGGAAGGCATATCCAGTGCCCCACCCTGCACAACTTGGGCCACTTGGTTGCCACATTCCCCTCTTTGTCCAGAGGGTGGGTGGGGTGGGTGGATTATGTTTCAGAAATGTTAGTGTTTGACATGAAAACCCCATGAGTCTCAGCTGGAACTTTGCTAATCCTGTGTCCTATTACCAGGCCCTTTCCAGCTTTCCAAAAAGACTCCTTGGGTACAGCAACTCCCCAAGAGAGGGCCCAGCCATGGAGCCTACCACTGATAGCCCTGAGGTCCAGCTGCCTTCTTCTGCTGGGTATGAGCAGGATCTCTAAAGGTAGAGGGCAGCTTGCATGTGCCTGGGGCAGGAGGCCGGTGCACACATGGCCACCTCCTGTGTAGCATGATATTGGCAGGGCTGCGTAAACCCTTCTTCAAGGAGGAAAGGGGACCTAGAGCCATGACTACATGGCTTCCAATAAGAGAATGGTGGAGAGCTGGTTCTTGATTCACCTTCCCAGCACTTCGATTCAGAACTGCTTCCCCTGCTCCATTCCCAAAGAGACGAGGTTCGACCCACTACTGGAGCCAACTTCTTGGGCACGCAAGCTGTGCAGTCACACAGGGCCCACGCTTGGTTTTAATGTTCTGATATTGACATCTTGAAATTCTTAATAATTTTGAACAAGGGGTTTCCTCCAGAGTCAGTTTGCACAGGACTTGCGAAGTAGGTAGCCAGTCCTGTCCACGGCCTTTGCTCATGCAGTGCCTGGCCCCACACCTGACAGCCTTCCTCTTTCCTGTCTGTCTCTGTCTTATCTCTCCTCTAAGGCAGAAAAAGTTCCAAAAACCGCAAAGAAGAGAGACCATATGCTCTTTGAAGAGCTTTTCTGCTCCACTGCAGATGGAATGGTGATGATTGAAAAGGACACATTAATACTCCTACCAAGCTGGAGATCTTAGCTCTGTCCAAGGCCGGAGGCTGTGGTAGAGGCTCCCACCCCGAGTCCTGCTGTCACAGTCCTTGCCGAAGTGTGTGCGATGGAAGTTCATTTTGTTTGCCCAAAGCAGGAAATGCGTACAAGGTTGAGTTCAGAGACCTGAGTGGTAACTCACATGCCTTTTTACTTGCTGTACCTTCAGACAAACCCCAGTCTCAGAGTCTCAGTTTACTCTTCTGCAAAATGAGTCACATTCCACACCATGAGGTTTTGGAATCTCAATTGCTAATCTTGCTGTGTGTTGGAACAAATCCCAAGCTCTTTTCTGACACTTTGGCTAGTGAGTTTTGGTAGCAAGTGGCTATTAATTCAGGCACATGTCCTATTTTCCTTTTTCAATCCTTGGGCTGCCCAGGCCCATGAATCTGGCCGTTCAGTTTTGGAGGTTTGTGACCTTTCCCCTGATGCACATTCAGGGACCCCAGGTGAAGAAACCCTGCTCTGGGCATGGACTCCGATTTCTCCTTGGATTGTGCCTGAAGGATAGAGAGCTGACTTCCTGGGCCGCATTGTTTTCTTCTGCAGAGCTGTGCTTGGAAGTCCCCCCTGTGGCCAGCATCACGGGTACCAAGAAGGCAGCTTCATAAATCTTGCTGTTGTCTTTAGGATAGGGGTGTTCTCAAGGACACTATCCTCAACATCACAGAGTGACCCCTTTGCAGAGCAAAGTGTCTAAGAGAGACTTCTCTCAGCTCTCAGTACTCAGGAAAACTGAGCTTTTGCAGAAGGAGTTGATCACTGTGCACTGTGGTCCTGAGTGCTGAGTGGCTAGGACACTCCGAGCCCAGTCTCAGGGCCTCTCTGGTGAGTAGGCCGGCCCCTGGGCTGGGCAGCCGGTGGTCAGTCTACCCTCGGGTTGGTTCTTTTGCAGCCCTCCTCCCCTGTGCTCTGTTTGCCCCAATTCCCTTGGCTTTTTGTTTTACACTTTTCTTTTGGATTTGTTCTTATACACACCTCACTCTGCTGCAAAATGAGGTGTGTTCGAAATATGTGAATTTATTTTTAAATTTATTTTAGGGAAATGGTGAGCGTTAAGAACCAAATGCTTTGTGACTGTCATGAAGCATCACCACCAGCAAGGGGAGCTGGGATGGGGGTGGGGCGGGAGGCAGGGCTCTTTCCTCTAGATCAGCGGTTTTCAGCCTTTTCCATCTCATGGCTCACAAACTAATTACTAACGTTCTGCAGCACACCAAAAATATATTTTTTCCAATCTGACAAAAAAAATAGGTATAATTTTGATTCATTCACACCAGACAACTATAATCATGTTGGTGGTTGTTATTTTTTAATCCGACAAGCTAAGGGGAAAGAGTCAGTACCCGTGGCACACTACTTGAAGATCGCTGCTCTAAACCGATCATCTGGCCACACACAACCACCTCCTCACCCACAGCCCCCAAATGCTCATTGGCACCTGCTTATTTTTTTAAATAAATTGAAGTCCATTGAACACATGTTGAAATTTTTGCAACCTCCCTTGTGATTTTGCTGAATCAAATTAAGTCAAGAGCTGGGAGGAACTAGAACTCTGACTGAAACCCTCATTCTGTGTCTCAACCAGCAGAGACTTGTTAGGGCTACAGCAGCCCAGGGGCCAGGGGGAATGGGAGGGCCCCACTTCTGGGAAGGCTCAGTAGGAAGGAGAATGGAGGTGTGTAGATGGGAGATAAGGTGCACCCCCTCTGGCTCAGTAGGGCCCCGATCCAGGCTTCTGGTATGACTGGATCAAGCAGCACAGCGTTCTTCGGAGGGGTCTCCCATCCGAAGAGCATATAATTACAGACCCCCTGGGACCGCTTGCACTTTCAACAAGGCAGAGGAAACTTTTGCACCTGGACCAAGTGACCATGCCCACTGTCCTGCCCCTCAGGAGTTTCTACCACGTCCCTTCCATGCTCTGATGCCTTCTGAAGTAGACATGCCACCTCTGCTTCATTCTACTTTGCAGCTGGGGTCACCAGTCACAGCCACGGCCTCGCTCACTTCTCGCTGTGCCATGTAAGCAGGGCCAGAGGCGTCACCCTCCCGTTCAGAAGAGTAAGGGGGTTCTCAGGGAGGACAGTGGCTTGCTCCAGTAAAAGGTGTCAGTAGTCAGGAGTACACCCCAGGGCTATGAGGCACAGGCCCTTTGCGCAATGGCGAGCGAGCCTGCCCTGGTTGCTACACTAATATCCCTCGGAGCTGGGCTGGGCTGGGCTGCGCCTGCTGGGAAGCTGGGCTCACACTTCTGTGGTTTTCCCTGGCAGTGGAATCTGGTGTGTGAGGAAGACTGGAAGACGCCCCTCACCTCCTCCCTGTTCTTCGTAGGCGTGCTTTTTGGCTCCTTCGTATCTGGGCAGCTGTCAGACAGGTAAGGAGGCTAGGAGGGAAGAAAGGTGGGATAGGGCCCCTTGTCAGTTCCCTGCTTGTCTTGGTGTTGGATTGAATTCAAGGTATTTCCACCCAGAGAAAGGGAGGCCCGTCGGGCCAATAAGTCAATAACTGGAGGAGTCATGATGTCTCCTGTTCTTCCTGCCCTCAGCCCCTTTCTGGGACCCACTGCAAAGTGGAATCCTCATATTACCAAACCCCTCAGAAAGGGTATGCCTCCCACCCCAGCCCTAATTCTCTGATGACATATGATCTGTCCACAAACAGCCAGAGTTAGGGCCAGACAGTGAGCTAACTGTGTGCCACCTCTGCTGTGGGTCGTGCCCTTGACCAGGCTCGGGGGCCACAGAGCCGACCTGAAGCTCACAGTCTAGAGGAGACAGCATCACAACTCCAGGAGAAGTGCACACTGATCCCTGAGTGTTCTGTGGGGACTAGAGCAGGAAGGTGGGAATGCTAAATGGCAGTATTGGGGAAGACCCAGAGGGGTGGCTGTCCCTCACCTAGTTACAAAGCCCAGTGGGACCCCAAGCTCAACAGCCTGAGACCTGAGTTTGGAAAATGGGGTGGGAGACTGTTCTACTCATACCTGTGCTTCATTCCTCCCATTGGTCGCTATCAAAACATGAAATTCAGACTTAAGCCAACTACAGGGTTGCTAATGAATATTGTTGGAAGCTACACTTCCCATAGAGCAGTGGGAAATATACACAATTTTGGTTGCACATTACACTCACCTGAAAAAATTGTTTAAATCCCTATGTCCAAACTGTATCCCAGACATAAGAATCTCAGGAGGCAGATGTAGGTACCAGTTTTGGGTTTTTTTTTCTCTCTTTATTGGCTTTTAGAGAGAGAGGAAGAGAGAAGGAGAGACAGAAACATCGATGAGAGAGAACATCAATTGGCCGCCTCCAGCATGCCCAACTGGGGATTTGGCCCACAACCTGGGCATGTGCCCTGACCAGAAATCAAACCAGCGACCTCTTGGTGCATGGGTCAATGCTCAACCACTGAGCCACACCGGCCAGGCAAGCACCAGTATTTTTTTAAGGTGATTCCAAGTGCAGCCAAGGTTGAAGACCACTGTCATAGAGGGAGTCTTGATTCTGGATTGACAGAATTCTTATGTTGCTGATATTAAACATGTCTGCAATCTGTACTGTATCCACCTTCTAGAAATGTGGTGGCAGCTCCCACTTGTGGCTCTTTCTTAAGTGATTTCCACATGGTCCATGCATAAGTTGCTCTGCTTTTGAAATATGGTGCTTCCACAGGAGGCTTAGAATCTCAAAAGGTAGTTCCTGGGCAGATGGGTGTCTGTGGCCTCACCAAGGAGGATCCTGGGAGGATGTGAATGACAGGGAGAAAAGTCTGCAGCGAGCCCGACTCGCCCCGAGCTGCAGTGCTGCTGTGACTGCACGCCCAAGTGTTGTGCTGTGCTGTACTCTGCAGGTTTGGCAGGAAGAGCATCCTCTTTGCAACCATGGCTGTGCAGACTGGCTTCAGCTTCCTGCAGATTTTCTCCGTCAACTGGGAGATGTTCACCGTGTTATTTGTCATTGTCGGCATGGGCCAGATCTCCAACTATGTGGTCGCCTTCATACTAGGTAGGAATGGTTTCTGACCCTTGGGGCTTCTTCCAACCCTCTGAGAGGTCCAGGAAGAGGGGGCCACCGAAAAAGGCACAGGGAGTGCTCTTACTCAGCACAGGAGGAAGCACCTCAAACCATGAACTGTGCTTCCAAAATGGGATCAGCCTGGGATATGGGGTGGGGCGTGGGGGGCTGTAGCTACAGGTTCTTTGATCCAGCCATGGCAAGGCAGGCACTCACAGGGAGCCAGCTCTATGCTAGGTCCTGAAATGTGGTTGTGAATAAGAGCTCAAGCCGGTGTGAACCAGCCACATAATAACTGAGATACATTTCAGGATAATAGGGCTTGAGAGAAGCATAAAGTGGGGGGTCTTGGGGGAGGGATGGCCTGGGGTGTCTGTGATCTGAGCTGTGAAAACGTGAGACTTCTGCCTGGGACAGGGCAGGCAAAAGAGTGTTCCTGGCAGCTGTGTGTAGCCCATGAAGGTACTTGAGATAGTTGGTGTGGCCAGTACCCAGGTGGAAGAGGCACGTGTCGGACAGGAGCACATGCCAGCCCGCCATCGCCACCATTGGGCAGATCTGCTCTCACCCTGAGCCACAGCCCATCCCTGGGGCATATCAGCTGTGTGCAGGACCAGCCTCATTGCTGATAGGAATCCCATCTCCTAGCAGCAGCCTTGCTTTGGAAATATCAGGCTACAAGCTAAAGGCTGTGAGGAGGCCCCCAGAGCCCTCGCCAGCTTTTCCTGGGAGGGAGGTGAGCTCCAGGCAGGTTGATCAGGGAGTCCACAGGAGTGAGAGCCCCTAACATGCTCTCTGAACCCACCTGTTCTCTGAATGGGTGAGAAAAGGGGAGATGAAGGGCACCTCTGGGACAATAGACACCAAAATCCCATAATGTCTAGTGTGATAATATATCCTTGTGGGCTCGGTGCTATCCCACATTATCTCTGTTGTCACAGTGTGGTTGTTGGCAGTGCCCCTTTAATAAAAGTCTAATGATTCTTCTTATCTCAAAAGTCTGGTCTGGTAGATGATTCTGATTGCTTTTAGGAGTCTGGACGGTTTGTTGGATTTAAGATGCTGCGTTTTCTTAGTTTAGGATATGTACATCCTTTGTCAGGTTTCGAAGATGGAATTATTCAAATTCCACTCCTTTAATCATTTGTAAGAACCCCTTGCCATGGGCCCACCTTCAGTGTCTGAGAGGGGTAAGGGGAGAGCATGTTGAAGCCACATGGACCTGGCAGATAGCACCCTCTTCACAGGCTGCAGCAGGAAGGGGGCCTCTCTTCGTCCCCTGGGAAAGAGGGGAGCAGGTTTTTTTGTTTTGTTTTGTTTTTAAGGAAGTCGTTTGTATAGAGAACACAGAGACCTCAGGACAGTGGTGCTGGAAACTGGAGATTAGAGGGATTTAAGGCAGAAATTGCAACCTCCTAATGTCTGATGGCCCCAAGTACATGGGGTTTGGGGGCACAGCAAAGCCTATTGTTCTCATTGTCTAAATCCCACAGAATCCACCTTCCATATCTGAAAAGCCCAATGTATGGTTCTGCTTGGTCCCAAGACTAAACAGGACTCCTCAAAACAGAAAACCCTGCCAGAGGCCAGCACGTCCTCTCAGGAGGACATAAAGGACCCCTTGAAGTAGAAGGCAGAGAATTATGGTAAAGCCAGAGAGGCCCTGTTATTGGGATTGGGAGCCAGGTGGGGTTTGTGCCAGACAAGGCATCACTCAGATTCTGCTGAAAGACTGGTTCTGAGACCTGCCTTTCCAGCGCCACAGCGTGCTTCTGGGGCCATGGATCCTTCCCTGTATGAGTGGATGAGGCCAGACAGCCGACCCTGAGTGCCCTGCAAGAACGTCCTGCCCCGCTGGCCCTGACACTACAGCCTGCTCCCTGCTGCCCGTGCTGAGAAGAGGGCGAGGGCCGAAGGGAAAGTAAGATTGTGGATGACCAGTCAGAGCCTAGATGTACAGCCAGGATCGGTGGGCAGGACACTAGGTGTAGCAGGTTTTCCATCAGCCCAGGCCTGAGGCTGTTGCAGGGTGCTCTAGGAGCTTCCCTGGCTGTGGTGTTTACTCAGTTGTGCTCTGTGGGAAGCTATTGATTTTGTTTCCTTGTATGGGACTCTTTGTGTTGGGTTATCAGGTCCAAACTTCTTAAGAGAGTCGCTAAAAACCAACCCACCCCCTGGGCTCCTTCCTCTGCGCCTGGTGTTCAGTGAGGTGACAGGACCCAGTACCAGGCACAGCTGTGGCCAGCTTCCCTGCAGCACAACAGCTCCCTCTGGTGTTTCAGGGCTGAAATTGTGAATTTCTAGTTTTGAGTAAAATAAACCAAAGCTTGCTATCCGGGCTCACAGGTTCTGTCTAGGCCTTCACTTTACCCTCTGGTTCTAGAGAAAACCTGGCAAGACTATACTGATAATCTCCAGTTTTAAGAGTCTTCACATTCATTCAGGAAGCTGACCTATTCCCATTCTCTACGTGGTACAGAAATGGATCCTCTCTTTGCTCTGCTTTTTAAAAAGCTTGCCAGAGTCCTAGGACACAAGCAAAGGGACAAAAGGAGCAGTGCCACTCAAGGGAACATAAAGTGGCTACACCTGGAAAGGAGGAAGCTGCCTGAATGATGCTGGTTTAGGAGGAAATGACCACTGAGAACCAAGGACACTGTCCCTTCCCACACCCCAGCTGCCATCACAATCTCCTACAGTTTCCCAGAAATAATGCCTTCAACCTGTCCACAGCTTTGTGGATAAATGCCAGCAGCAGCCCTCATAACCAGCTGCTTAAATTTATTTCACACACTTAACTGCTTCCTATCTTGACTAATCCATTACTTTAGCATTTTCCAGGTACTCCTCACATCAACCTCCTAGGCAGTATTTGTTCCCGTATGTTGAACTATTTAAAGCTCTGCTTCGTTTGATAAGCATGCAACTGACAAAATTTCCTTTATTACTTTGGCTACCAGGAAGCTCAGTCAAAACCGAAATTTAACTATCAATTTTGCAGCCTTTGTTAGCCACATATTTTTTAAATGTTTTTAAATTTAGATATAATTTGCCAATCATAATACTTACTCTTTTAAAGTTTATCACTCAGTGGTTATTTGTATACTCACAGAGCTGTGCAACTATCAACTCTATTTAACTCCAGAATGTTTTCATCACTCCCAAAAGATGCCCTGTATGTTTTGCAGCCACTCCCGATTCCCTTCTTTCCCCAGCCCCTGGCAACCACTAATGTACTCTCTGTCTGTGTGGATCTGATAAATGGAAGCATATAATATGTGGCCTTTGTGACTGACTTCCTTCATTTAGTGTTTTCAGGATTGGTTCATATTGTAGCATGAATCAACATTCCACTGTAAGAACATACCACATCTTGTCCGTCCATTCATCAGTGGATGGACACCTGGATTGTTTTTACTTCAGGCTATTATGAATAATGTGCCATGAACATTCAAGTACACAATTTTTGTAGATATATGTTTTCAGTACTCTTGGGTATGTACCTAGGAGTGGAATTGCTGGGTCATATGCTAACGTATGTTTAACTGTTTAAGGAACTTCCAGACTGTTTTCCCAAAGTCACCAATTGCATATTTGTATTCTTTTCTCCAAGACATAACTTTTAACTTTTCTTTATAATTTATTTTAATGCTACCAACATTTTAATACATTCAAATTATAAGCTATCTCAAAATCTTCAAGAGATGAAAGGGGGTAGAAATACATTTTAAAAGATGCAGAAACTTGCCAACACCCCTTGTTTGCACCACACTATGTGAGGGAGGAAGCAAGGACTCGCCCCTGTCTTCAAAGTGCTCTGGTTGGCAGAGGCAGCCAAAGCAGTTATTACTGAGGACATGGGTCAGCATGGGTGGGGCAGGAGTGTGGAGAGTGCAGATAACTTTTCTGGGTATAAGCAGAGAGAAGAAAGGTTACTTTTAACTAGAAGGATCTGTGAAGGTTCATAGAGGGAAGATAGGAGGCCCTGAGCAGGGGAATGTCTGTTAATTTGAAAAGAATTCTGAGTCTTTCCTCGGGAGCGAAGAGAGGTTTTGCTGTCTTCCATTGGGTCTCTTGGTCCAAGGCACTGTACTTTCCATCATTCCCCTGACATCTAGCGCATTTCAACTGGCTGACCAGGATAAAGGAATGATCTGTTTCTGAGCACCTACCACATGCCAGACTTTCTACAAGTCACTTTACATACATTATGTCAGTTCCTATAGTAATACCTTCATAAAGTAGGACTATCGATCACTGTAGGAGCAAATGAGCATCAAGGAGCTCAGGCTCTCTGCACAAGCCTGATGGAGGCCACTCCTAGCCCAGGGGCCCCTGGGTCCTACCCCACATCCTGGCAACTGCACCATAGTCTTGTTTCTTGGCCTGGGGTCTGCTGCAGACTTTTGTTGGTCATTCCTGGAGAGGCAGGTCTTGCCTCCATGTGGGATGGGTTCACTGGTTCCTGACTGGACCCATGATTGACTGCCACAGAAAGGCCCTGACCAGTGTGGGAGCGAACCCGGCCCTCCCGGAGTCGTCCCCTCTGGAGAGAGTGCTCAGCTTCAGTTGGTGGTGACAGGCAGTGGCCAAACACTCTGGCAGGACATGTTCCTTTGGCTTAGATGTTAGAGTTTTACTCCCAAGAGACACTCAGAGGCCCAAACAGATCAAGATCAACTGGGCTTTGCCTTGGGAGCAAAACCTGAGGGCGTAGAGGAGGCCAGGACAGGGACTGCCAGCCAGCAGAGCCGGAGGTCACCCCTGTCAGCTGTCTCACTGCAGCTGGACACATGGAAGTTGTGCAGCAGCTTCAGGCCGTGAGAGCTACAGGAATCAGGATCCTCTCTCAGTGTTCCTCAGAAGGGGCTGGTTCCTCCGGTCTCCAGTTGGTTCAAAGACCCGCCCAGGCAAATAAAATGTAAATCTCCCTTCTGAAGGGGAGGTCTGGCCTCGCCCACGCATGCCTCCTCCAGAATCTCAGCTGAAGGGCTGCTTGCTGGGCCCGGGCTTTGTCCCCAGGTGATGTTTTCTAGACATTATCCACACGTCAAACAGACCAGGCTTAAATCCTGGCTGCCCCATTTATTACATATGTGTGAATTTAGGCAATTTGTTCCAGCTCTTTGTCTCAGCAGATTACATATAAAACAGAAGTAATATTCTTCTATAATTGTTGTGAAGATTCAAAGAGATAATACAGGTAAATACTTAGTCTGGCACCTGACACAAAGTGCCTACTCAAAAAATGCTCGCTATGAAGAAAAAGATGGTGATGGTGATGATGATGGTTTAGGAAGGTGATTATCTAAAAGTCAGAGAGCAGGAAGTCACTCTAACAAGGAATTATTCAGGTTCATGCCATCCATGTTGCTTCACACACAGAAAGGCAGAGAGGTAGATTTATGAAGTTTCTGTCCCTCATGGTTACTCAGCAGTCAGAACAACTCTGTTCTGGCCCGGGACCCAATCTTAGAGAGGGAGATTGTCCAGGAATCCAGTGGTACATCTTCTCTCTCTTATCAGGGTCATAGAACTATAAGGGAGCTCCCTTGGCCTCACAATTACACAAGATTCTTACCTGGTTCTGTGCACTTTCTGTTTTCCACAATCAAATCCTCTGCTCCTCCATTTCTGAATCTCTGCTTAGGAATAAAGCACCCTGCATTCATTCCTAAATCATGATAATCACAGGCAAAGTTTAGAAACCATGGCATGGACAGTCTTCCCATAGAGTGGTAGGAAGGCCATCAATGAGGTAAGAAAAGATCTGGAGATAACATTCGTGATCCTCAAAGAGGTCAGGCCCAGTCCTTGGAAATGAATTTAGAAGCTGAGGAAAGCCCTGGGTGGCTGGGTTTCTTGTACACAGTCTAGGATGAGAGAAGCACGCAGTACTGGCCACTTCTATCAGTCTGGTTTTAGACATGGCTAGTTCAAAGGGAGCCACAGAGCCATATGGCTCCGTCATGCTGCGTAAGGAAGTGGGGCAGGGATAGGATCAGGTAGGCGGTGAACATGGGAAATCAGAAGTTTTGCTGCTTCTCTGTAATTAGCCCTTTATTCCTTAGCCTGTGCTCAGGGCATGTAAACATGACTGAGAAAACCTGTCTTGAAAGCCAAGCCTGAATGGCGTTTGAATGGTCTATTTTGTATTTTCTGGGCTGCTTCTCTGCAGTGCTGGAAAGACCTCAAACAAAAGGCAGAGCGGTTGCCATCGGCTAGATCTCTGCCCCTGGGGACCACAAGTGGACTCTGTGGAAAGGGCCTGGAGTTCTGTGACAACAGAAGGAGCTTATTTTTGGAGACTGAAGGGCAGGCAGCATCTCTGGAAGAACTGGTGCTGAGCCAGCCATCTGGCACTGAGCAGAACAGGACCCAACAGCCACCTGTGTGTCCTTTCCCAAAAGAGGGCCCAACACCAAGCAGTCCTGGGCCTTTGTGTGGTGTTCTGGGAAAGCTTAGAGGAGTTCCCTGGGTGTGCGGCCTGCTCCAGGGCTGGTGCCTGCCAGGCCGGCAGAACAGGGCCTTCTTTTCTTTCCTTGGTCTGAATGGACTGTGTCTGCCTGGGGCTGATCCCTGGGCACAAAGTGGCCGCAGGGGAATTTAGCCCGTGGCTGCTGGGGGCCTATTCTGCGCACTTGCAGAGCCAGCTGGATCCCATTTGTCATTTCTCAGGGCTCAAGGGTGGCTAAGAATGTCCTAACACCACTCAGTAACTGACTCTCCACCATTCCCCGAGAGGCCAGTGTCTGTGGATGTACCGTGGAGAATTGTGGGAAAGGCTTAATGCACCGTGAGCCCCTCAGCCGGGTCCCTGCGGTCTCCTGGAACACCCTCCCGCTCCTCACCCTGGGGCTCTGACTTTGGGCATATGGCAGTCCCTGAAGAGATTTCTTCTTAGGGCTGGGCTTGCTATTTTTATGATATGAAATGCTCTTTTAAAAAAAATCTATGACTCCTTTAAAATCTCATGAAAACTTATCTTCTGTAAGGTGATAAGTCTAGAGAGTCCCTCCCACCTTCCTCCACCCTGACCACTTCTGTCCTGGGCCGTGAGGCAAATGCCTTTTCCCTTCTGTAAGAAACTATAGTTTGAACTCTAACTGCCAGGTAATGATGTAAAAAGAAAATATTAAAGTGAGTTAAAATGCTAATATTCCTCCCTTGTTTTGAACAGGAACAGAAATTCTTGGCAAGTCAGTTCGTATTATATTCTCTACGTTAGGAGTGTGCACATTTTTTGCAGTTGGCTACATGCTGCTGCCACTGTTTGCTTACTTCATCAGAGACTGGCGGATGCTGCTGCTGGCGCTGACCGTGCCGGGGCTGCTGTGCGTCCCGCTGTGGTGGTGAGTGTGGCTCAGCCCCAGACAGCCCCCTGCTGCGGCCAGCACAGCCTGGAGCCTGGAGCCTGGAGCCTGGTGTGGCCCTGGTGTGAGCTCACTGGAGCTGGCTGAGGCTGGGCCTCGAAGCCCAGGGACGGTTCCCCTGGCTGGGTGGGCCTGTGTGCTGGGGTTTAATTCTCCACTGTACCACAAAGCACCCCTCTCAGGAAATCCAGCACCCCCACCTCCACCCTACTCTTGTCTGCTGTTGGTTGTTCTTATTGGTGGAGATGGTCTTGTTGGGTTTTGTTGTGTAGAACTCCACTGTCCCCCACCCCCTGTTTTTGACACTTTTCTCTCTCTAGGAAATCTCTTTCTCCTTATGGACTCAACTAATGTAGTTTCTTCCCTCCAGCATTAAGAGGTGCGCCTGTTCATCTACTTTGTCTGGACGGGCAAGAGAGCTGCTTTCTTATAAAGAGTTGTTAGAGAAAGGACCTCTTCTCTCTTCCCGCAACCCTCCAGCCCAATTTTGACACAATAGTATGGGAATCACAAAATCACTGACCCCAGTTTTATCCAATATGGTTATGTGGGAGATTTCAGGTGAGAGAACAGATTAAGAAAAAGGAATTCAGAGAATGTATATGTGTATATGCATTGCCCATGGACACAGACAACAGGGTGGTGAAGGCCTGGGGTGAGGTGGGAACCAGGTGGAGGGGGCCAGTGGGTGGGGAGAAGCCAAGAGAGGGGAGGGGGGAACATCTGTAATACTTTCAACAATAAGGATTTTTTAAAAGAAGAAAAATAAAAAGGGAATTCAGTCCCAGACATACCTTCTTTTTTGGGACTCCTCATTTCTTTGGTTTTTCACATTTAAGCAAGAGAAAAGGGAATTTCTTCCATCGCTGGGTCTGGCTGGCTCTCTCTCTGTCTCTCTCTCTCTCTCTCTCTTTCTCTGTCTCTCATTCTTTTTTATTTGGTTTCATGATATCAAAATCAAATCTCTCAGCAGTGACTGGTTCTATTGAACTGTTTGATCTCTACCTGCTTACACACAGTGAACATTTCTTTGATCACTTTTTGGAACTCACAGTTTAGACGAGCCCTCATGGTTGCCCTGTCCTTTGGACACGTCGCCAGGAGGGTTGCCTAGAAGGTCCTTGGTGCAAGTGTTAGACAACCATAGAGGCTGGCAGGTAGCACATCTTGGCCTTATTGGACCAGATGGCTCAGGCTAGACCCACTTCAAGCTACTATCTTTATGACCTCCAAGACTTCTGTGGTTTACCAGTATACATTTTTTGGCATGGGTGTGCATGGAGGGAAAGAGAACTTTTTTTTCCCCTGGAATTTGAGAGACAGTATGTTAAATGTTAGCTACTATTCTGCTTTGGAGGTTTCCCATCACCATCACCATCACTGTCACCGTCACTGTCACCATCACCATCACACCCTCTGTTCCTGTCTCCACCACCTCCTTGCTAACTGAATCTAGTGTAAACACTATTGGTGACCCAAGGTTCTCTGAAGACACAAGACAAGATTATTCATAGGTTATTTTCTGCCTCTTCAGATGAATGATTTTAATAATTGATGTTCCCTTGCTCTAGCTGTCCTTTTGACATAAGAGACCGGTACTTTTTAAATGTTATAATCAAACTTATAACTGTATAATTCTAACAGAGAGAGAGAAAGAGAGAGAGAGAGAGAGAGAGAGAGAGAGAGAATAAAAATAGAAGGGTTCTGATCGACCATAAGAGATTAGTAGGAATTTAATTTGTGGAACTTGGATCTTTCCCTCAGGACCAAAGAGCACAGCAAGGAATAACTCTGAGAAGTCAGCCCCTTGAGTTTCCAGCTGAGAAAGCCCATCCTATAAGGAGGGCCTCACTCTTGCCCTAAGGATAATTCTTTCTTCTGCTTTTCACGGAGTGGTCTGGGAGTGCTCCGAACCGCTGTTCCAGGCACAGCATTGGCCCACACAGAAGCAGCCCGGAGCCAGCACTAACAAGCTGCAGGCTCATCCTGAAAGGCTAAAACAACAGTCTTATTATTTTCCTATAGAAACAAAATCACTTTATTTTAAACATCTTGTTCTTACGGGTGGGCCTTCCTGAAGCAAAGCTCATCCGTCCGTTCATCCCACAGGTGGGATGATGTGAGGGATGCTTTGGGCTGCTGGGCTCCCTGCGCTTGTCAATGTGTGACAGTCTGTCCAGCAACACCCCGCCCCTGTTCAATCTGAATTAAAACTACAGAGAGGCTATTGTGTACAGCCTTGTTTGCTGCTCCACTGACTTTTGAAATGATCAGCTAGACTTGATTCTTCATGCACCCAAAACCGTGGCAGTTCAGTAGTAGAGACTGCAGCCGGCCTGAGCACCTGGGCTGGAAATGGCAGGGGAGCCTACCCAGAGGTATTGCAGGTGGCTTGGGGATTTTTTACATCCCGAGTTCCCCTTAAAAGGCTTGGCATTAAGTGGCCACATGTGTGAGTGGAATATGTGATAGAGGGGAGGGAGGGAGCACATAGCTGCAACATGGGAAAGCTTTGCCATATCTGGCTGCCTAAACATTAGAAACCTAAGGCCAGGGATGGTCCTCAGGGCCTGCAGTATGAAAGATAGCTTTTTTTTTTCTTTATTGATTTTAAGAGACAGAGAAAGGGAGAAGGAGATAGAGACATCCATGAAAGAGAACATCGATGAGAGAGAACGTCGATTGGCCGCCTACTGCACGCCCCCTACGGGGGATCAGGCCTACAACCTGGGCATGTGTCCTGACCGGGAATTGAACCAGTGACCTCAACTGGTGACCTCTTGGTGCATGGGTCAATGCTCAACCACTGAGCCACACCAGTCGGCCAAGATAGGATTTTTTTTTATTTTTATCCTCACCCGAGGACATTTTTCCATTTTTTGCACAGACAGAGTGGGAGGGAGAGAGAGGAAGAGAGAGAGAGGGAAACATCGATGTGAAAGGGACACATCGAGTGGCTGCCACCCGCACGTCCAACCAGGGCCGGGGACAAACTGCAACCGAGGTACATGCCCTTAGCGGGAACCGAACCCGGGTCTCTCCGGACCGCAGGCGGACGCTCTAACCACTGAGCCAAACCGGCCAGGGCAAGATAGGATATTTTTAAGAACAACCTTGATGGGGAAAGATACTGCTCAGAAATCAAAGTGCCTATGATGTACACAGTGGGTGTGTAGTAAGACCCCTAATTCTGTACTATGACAATAGTCACTAGTCATATGCTGCTTTTTAAATTAAAATTAATTAAAAGTAAATAAAACTAAAAATTTATTTCCTCAATGATGCTAGTCACACCAGCTCAATAGCCACATCTGGTTAGTGGTACTGTATTGGACAGCCCAGCTCTAATTACTGAAGGTCAGTGACCTGACATCATTACAGTTGCTGTGGGGACCACATAAGGACATATTCCGAAAAACAAAAACTTGGTTCAATTTTCATCCATTGTGCTGGGAGGTTGGGGCAGGAGCTGGGGTTGGCCATTTGTTCAGTTGTGTTTTGCTCTGAGATCATTCCTCTTGATGCTTTGGAGGGGCCCATTGAATTACAGGAGGCCCCTGTGTCTGCTACATGTAATTTATTTCCTAGGATAACTAAGTACTGACAAATAGGTAAGGAAAACAAGAGTTGTCAGAAGAATGGCTAAGAAATTCAAAGAAATAAAAATTGGGAAAGAATTTTAAAATGTAAATAAGTATGTGCATGATAAAAATGAATAGAAAAATTAGAAAAGAATTTAGCTATGTTTGGCCATCAGTTAAAATGTAGAAAGATTGTATAATTTTAAAAAATTAACTTTCTTGACATTTAAAAAAAAAAAAAAAAAGGCAACATTGGCTGTCTCCCAAAAACTGCTTTGGGAGCTCACTGACCCGGGAATCTGTTGAAGTTCATGAGGACAGCCAGGGAGGGTGTCAGGGCACCCACCTTCTCCTCTGGGTATAGGATAAGCCCGAGGAGCACAGATGCCCTGGCCGTCCTTTACACAATAAACTCGTGAGCCTCACCAGCTGGGGCACCAAACCCTTCTAGGGACGGACACACGGAAAAGACGCTAGGCTATGTTTCTTTTATGAGTCACACTTGGTTATTAAGTTTTGGATGGCTTTCTCTAGCTGCCCTGACTTAAACCCATGCAAGTTAATGTTACCCCTTACAATCTGCTCCTGGCTTCAAGTGCAACTAATGATCAGTCTTGTGATTTGATCAGAACTTTGAAATTTGAAGATGTTTTTATCTTCATTAAAAACTTCATTTTATCTTCCATATTATAATCAATGGAAGTCTTATGAGGCCTCTGCCCCCTGAGACAAACTAGAACTTCACAAAATAAAATTTCTTTTTTTGGGGGGAAGGGGGTATGGTTAATAGTATCAAACCCTGCCATTGTGAAAAATTATAAACCATTAAAATGAATTCTAGGTTTATTCCTGAATCTCCCCGGTGGCTGATATCCCAGAGAAGATTTCGAGAGGCTGAAGAGATCATCCAGAAAGCGGCGAAAATGAACAGCATAGCTGTCCCAGTGGTGATGTTTGATCCTATGAAGGTAAGCATTTGCAGATACTTCCTCTTGAGGTCAGCTGTGCATTCTTTTTTTTTTTTTTTAATCCTCACCTGAGGACATTTTTAAAATTTATCTTTAGCTAGAGTAGAAGGGAGGGGTTAGAGAGAGAAAGAGAGAACCATCCATGTGAGAGAGACACATCAACTAGTTGCCACCCGCACGACCGTGACCAGGGCCAGAGACAAACTGCAACCGAGGTACGTGCCCTTGTCCGGAATCGAACCTGCGACTCTTTGGTCAGCAGGCCGACGTTCTAACCCCTGAGCCAAACCAGCCAGGGAATCAGCTGTGCATTCTTGATCTTAAATAATTTAATTTAATTCAATATGTTTTGAGTACCCAACATATACCAGGCTCTGTCCAAGGCCTGAGAGACACAATGATGGTTAGATTCTGAGATAAAACCCACCTCAAAGAGCTGTGTGTGAATTAAGGGCAATAACATGTGTAAACTTTTAGCATAGAACAAGTATTCATTAAATATTAGTTCCCTTCCCTTTTGCAAGTTCATCTCCAACTGTTTTATTGATATTGCTCCATACCATTGATGTAGGTACATACCGGTGATTTTTGAATGTCCAGATTCAGTGGACAAAAGTGTTTGAGAGCTATTCCACCATGGGCTCCCCACTGAACCCTGAATCCTACCAGAGCCTGTTGAAGAAGCTGTGCGTGTCTTTTGTCTCGCTATGTTGTGTCTAGAACCTTAAAGCCTGAGCACACAGGCTGAGGGTCCACCCTGAAGGCAGGGGCCTCGAGGAAAAGCTGACGCGCTGTGGAAGCAGCACCCTTTCTGACAGTCAGTGAGGACTCGCCATGTTCTCTGCCACGCCCTGTGCTGGCTCCTAAAGAAAACAAGAAAAATTAGATGCGGTTTCTATGTTTAAGAAGCGTGGAATGTAGAGTGTCAAGAGGATCAGATGAAAGATGCATGATGACGAAGGAGGAAGTGCTAAGCACCCAAGGAGTGGACACTGTGGCCGCAGAGAGAGAAAGCTGAGTGACTCGGGGCTGAAAGGCAGGTCCGAACCAGGGAGAGGAGGGGGCAGGGCATTGCTGGCTAGGAGAAGGGAAGGGGGCTGCTCAGGACACCCCGAGAAGGTGAGGGTGGCGACAGCGACAGTCTACAAGGCTCTGTGGAGGGTGGCGGGCATGCCAATGCTCCACGCCAAGGCTTCCTCCACCCCTGCCTCCAGGACTGTTGCCAGAAGCAGATACTGTGGCAATGGCTGCAGGGTTCGTTCCAGTGGCCATGAACCCGAGCTCTCAGAGGGCTGCCAGGACAAACTTTCTTAGTCCTTCGCTCTTCAGACCAGGAATTCCATTCCCAACTTCAGTCAGTTTGACCAGATGCAAAAATTACGTTGGGAGTGTCTGCATCTCAGGACTCTGCTGGATGTTTACAGGTGTTTATTGGATATGTAGTCTGTTTCCTTTGAGGAACTTACCTTCTAGTAGTAGAGATCAGAACTACATGGGTAAAAGCAATCACAAAACAAGTAAGGGAGGTAGAGTTATAGATATATAAGAACAAAGTCCAGCATTAAAACACATGCTTCTGACAGTGCCTTTCTTCCTGCCACTGAGGCACATGGAACCTGAACTGGACAGGTCCATGGAGGGAAAGGAAGCTTGTGCTTTCCCAAGGCCCAGTCATCCTCCCTGCTCATCTCGCAGGCACAGTCCTCTCTAGGAGGATCTGCAGAGCCCTGTGCCAGCAAATGCAGCCTGCTCAGGATGGTGATGGAGGGCCCACCAGATGCTTGTCTGATGCTCATGCTAGTCATAAGCCCATTTCTCAGGAGAGGAAACTGAGGGACAGAGAAGTTAAGTAAATTGCTTAGGATCACACAGCTAGAAGTCTCACTAGGTCTCTCCAGTGCCAAAATGCATGCACTTACCTGGGCATTTTTACCTGATGTGAAGAGCAGTGACATTAACTTGGACAGGAAAGAATAAAAAGTAGTATCCTTTTGGAAAGCAATCTCAGGCTTCTCTGAATTTCTTTCCGAAGCACCTTCAACCTGCTTGTGGTGCCTGGTCCAAAGGGATTTTGGTGGCTCCACACAGGCCAAGCATGAGCACTGGACACAAGAATGTTCTTGTCCTGAGGTTTTCGAATATGGCTGCCTATCACAATAACACAAGGGGCTTTAAAAATACAGATTAAACAGATTCCGGATGGGACCTGGCAGTCTTCATTTTCACAAGGCGTTTCCTGTGGAAACCCCAGGCATTAGCATAGGCCTGACCCACGGGCCCATCTGTGCATGGCACCACTCCGAGTCCACCAGTTCCCTCCAGCTACCCAGGGCCTTTGCTTTGTTGTCACGGCAGAGCAGCATGCTCCAAATGGTGTAGAAGAAACAAGGTAACATGCCTATGAGCTGTGTGAGAAGGTGTCTGATTATTCCTGAAAGTAGGATGCTGACATCTGGGCACTGCCTGCTACCAGGGCGAGACTAGCATCCTCACTTCTTTCATCATAGAATCTCCTTCCTCCGCCTCATTGCACACACACCACAGGGACACAAAGTCCTTGCGCTTTATCCCAAAGAAATTCCCCATCTCAGAGCCTTGTAACTTTTTTTTTTAATCCTCACCTGAGGATATTTTTAATTTTATCATCAGATAGAGTGGGAGGGAGGGGGAGAGAGAGAGAGAAACATCAAAGTAAGAGGGACACATCAACCTGTTGCCTCCCGCACAACCCCGACCAGGGCTGGAATCAAACCCATGACTCATTGGTCTGAAGGCCGATGCTCTAACCACGGAGAAAACTGGCCAGGGCAAGCCTTGTAACATTTTAGTTTTAATGCTAATAAGCTTGTTTATCTAGATTCCTAACACATGGCAAGTTAATGTCAATAAATTAAGAGTGAAGGAAGGAAGCCCACTGGCAGCATTAAGAAATGCCACTCACCCCTGACAGCTAGCATATTCCCCTCAACGGTGCAGCACTACTGTTAACAGTTCAAATGCATTGGGCATTTATGTAGTTCAGGTACTATGCTAACCTTTATATATATATGATCTTATTTAATCTTCTCAACTATATATATTTATTTATTTATCTATATCTCAATGGATGCTCAGAGAAGATAAATAGTAACTTTCCCAAGGTCCCACGGTTAATCCAAATCTGTTCAAGTCTGTTCTGACTTGGAGACATCAACAAGAAAAGTATGAAAGGCAGCCAGGGACCTCGAGGCAGTGAGTTCATATAGCCCCCACACACAAAGCCCTGAGGATCACAGCTCGGTGTGATCCGGGTACCCACAGATGAGCGGGAGTCAAGGAAAGCCCATGCTAGCAGGTAGGCATTCTATAAAAAGCTGGTGGAGCCGGTGTTATATATTTGAAAGGCTCTGTCTAAAACGGGCCTCAGACATTCTAAAGTGTTAGAATAAAACATCATATATGCAGATGCTCTTATTCCCCACAAATTCCGGATTTCTGAGCATATTCAAGGTAAAGTAAGAGTTACATGCATAAGTGTTTTTCCATGCTGTCTTGGCCAAAGGTACTTCCTCACTCCCTCTTAATCTCGTGGATATTTACATTATTTTAGCTACAGGAGCTGAAACCCTTGAAGCAGCAGAAAGTTTTTATTCTGGACCTGTTCAAGACTAGGAATATTGCCACAATAACCACTATGTCTGTACTGCTATGGTAAGTAATAAGTGATCTGGAAGTCTGTGATATAGCACATATATATATGATCAATTTTCTTTAATTTAAGGCAAAATCGGGACAAGCCCTGGGACTTCATGAGACAAAATGAAAATTTTGAAAGTTTAAGTTATTTGAAGATGCCTCAATTCAATTCATGGAACTGGGTACTGAAAAAAAAAAGTCACAGGGAACAATATGTCCCTGCTGTATTGTGGCCCACAGGGAAAGGGTCCCTCCCCCGGGATTAAGGCTCCTGACATCCCTGGTGCCTGAAACCAAGATGCTAATTCAGCTCCTGCTTCCTGAACCTTATACTGGCAATTAAATAACCTGAACCCCTACTGCCTGGATTGGATGGGGTTTTGTGTGTGTGTGTTTTTTTAAATAATCCTCATTGGAGGATATGTTTATTGATTTTAGAGAGAGGAAGTGGGGGAGAGAGAGACATTGATCGATTGCCTCCCATACGGGCCCCAACCCGGGATCAAACCTGCAGCCTAGGTATGTGCCCTAACTGGGAATGGAACCCTCAACCTCTTGGTGTGCGATACAATGCTGCAATCCATTGAGACACCCAGCCAGGGTCTGGATTGGGGTTTTGACAAGCTTTTCATACTTGTCAGCTGCAAACTACCAAGTGATTTTAAAGCATCGAAATAATGAATTGACTTTGTAGACTAGATTTAATAATAGATCTGCCAAAGAGTGAGGAAGAAGAAAAAATGAACATGCCTATTCCACACTGGCAACAGAAGGAAAGTGATGATCAGAACGAGGACGTTCAGACTGCAGCTAGTCTAGTTTCAGGGCCGGCCCGTGTTGCAGCTCGAGGACATTGATGACAGAGCTCTGACTGAATCGAGCAAATGTGTCCAGGCACCTGGCTTTCCGCCTTCACGGTAGGCCTCATTCCTTCTGTCCTGTCAGCGTGGTCACCGGTTGTTATCTCAGCTGCGGTTACTACCAACGGGAAAATCACTGAGGTTCCTCGAGCAATCAAGTTTAATTTTTTGTTGTGTTTGGATTAGCCCTTGTGCTACCCAACCTAATGAAGTATGTATAAAAGTATCCAACAGTGTCCTGAAAAGATTTTTCAGTTATCTCTGCTTTTCACTCATGTTAATAATAAGCAAACTTCTGCACAAAGGAGTCCTCGTAGGGCAGTAGGTTTTCCATGGAGAAACTTTTGGTGGAAGTTAACTGTAATGACAGGACATGTGGTATGCACTTTGTGACACTTTGAAGCATTGTGGAACTTTCATTCCTTTCCCTAAAGGGAGTTTTACTAAATCTTTTGGAATTCACTGTAAGTGAATCCCACAGTATACCTATGTTTCTTCTCCTTCTCCTTCTTCTTCTTGTTTTTTGGTAAGAAGTCTGGATTTTATTTTCACTGACATGACTGACATACATTCTTTCTTCAAATAATAGCTCCGAGGGAATCAGGATGTACAAACTGTTCAGGAAATATTGAAATGTAAAATTAATTAGACCAGAACAGGTGTTGCCTATTAGTATGTCTAGACTCGTACTGTCCAACAGAACTTTCTGCAGTGATGAAATGTTTCCATCTGTGTTGTCCACTATAGTAGCCACTAGCCACATGTGGCTTTAGCAGTTGAAGTATGGCTGCGATGGAACTGATTCTTTGATTTTATTTAATTTTAATGTATTTACTTTTAAATAGCCATATGTAGTTAGTGGCTACTTATAGGAAAACAGAATCTAGAGAATTTCTTGACCATTATGAAAGTGTAGAATGAGTCATGCCACTCTTTTGTCATTTTGGTTTTTTCTTTTGTCTTTTAGGATGCTGACTTCAGTCGGTTACTTTGCTCTGTCTCTCAACTCTCCTAATTTACATGGAGATGCCTACCTGAACTGTTTCCTCTCTGCCCTGATTGAAGTCCCAGCTTACATTACAGCCTGGCTGCTCCTGCGAACCCTGCCCAGGCGTTATATCATAGCTGGGGTGCTGTTCTTGGGAGGAGGTGTGCTTCTCTTAATTCAGTTGGTACCCACAGGTAAGAAGTTAACCAAGAGTAACAGCTTGACGGAAAAGATCGACACCTTGACTTAGGCTAATCATTGGTCACTGCTCCCTGTTTATGTAGCTTTGTCATATACCATTTATAAGTAAATTAGACAAATGATAGCTAACTATGGAACTTCCTGTGTTCAAAATAACACTCCTCAAACAGATGAGTCAGCCTTGGAGAACTGGAAGTCATTACCTACAAAGGAAAAATAATGCTCCCAGTCATCCCCTTCATAGAAACATTCACCTAAAGCCTCAAACCTCTTTCTTGAAATCATAACCTCGATTCTCAATTTCTTGGTACTTTCTAACCTTTTCCTGAGGTGTGTATTCAAGTACAAGAGTTAGTAGTACACACCAGTCAGAAAGAATATATGTACCCCCATGTTCATAGCAGCACTATTGACAATAGCTAAGATCTGGAAACAGCCCAAGTGTCCATCAGTAGACGAATGGATAAAAAAGCAGTGGTACATATACACAATGGAGTACTATGCAGCTGTAAGAAAGAAAGATCTCTTATCCTTTGAGACGACATGGAGGGACCTGGAAAGTATTATCCTAAGCAAAACAGAGAAAGACAAATATCACATGATCTCACTTTTTTGTGGAATATGAGGAACATAACAGTCTGAGGAATAGGGTAGACCCAGAGACGTGGAAGTAGGGTACAGACTGACAACCCTCAGAAGAGGGAGTGGGGCGGGGAGGGAAGAGATAAACCACAGAACTTACATGCATATATGCATAACCAATGGGCATGGACAACAAAGCCAGGTATGGGGTAGGGGGGATGGGGAGGAAGGTCTCAGTGGGGAAAAAAGAGAGAAACATCTGTAACAAAAATAAGTTAATAAAAATAAATAAATAAATATATAATTTCCCTTGAGCTGCTCTTTCTACATCTGTAAAACAGAGATGCCAATACCTGCCCTTCCCCCCACATGGCCATGCTCAGGACCAGAGGGGCTCTAAAACAGACAATGTGCTATCTGAAGTTGGGGTGTTCTGGTAAAAAAGATCCCTTCAAAGTCCATGTGATATGACAACTGTCCCCACCATCACTACCCCCACCCCAGCAGCCACCCGGCCAGTTCTTGGGCCCTCAGCCACCAGGAGGCCGTCAGACTGCAGGGGGCGCCCAGACCTGCTCTGCCTGCAGGACCTGCTCACCACCTCCTCCCCTCCCCTCACCCCCAAGTCTACAAGCTTCAGCAAATAATAAGGGACATTATTAATCACTAAAAACCCTTCAAAGATGCAAATTAAAACAACTATGAGGTATCACCTCACGCCTGTCAGAATGGCCACCATCAACAAATCATCAAACAACTGGAGGGACCTCAAGAATATTATGCTAAGCGAAATAAGCCAATTAGAGAAAGACAAATACCACATGATCTGCTTATTTGTGGAATATAATGAACAAGGTGGGCTGATGAATGAAATAGACCCAGAGACATAGAAAGGAGTAGGGTTCAGACTGACAAACCTCAGAGGAGGGGCGGGCAGAGGGATTGGAAGAGATGAACCAAAGAACTTATAGGCACCTATGCATAACCAGTGGACATAGAAAACAATGCTGAGGGGGTGGGAGGGTGGGATAGAAAGGAGGGTGTCCAGGGGGGAAAAAGGAGAAACATCTGTAACAAAAATAAATAAATAAATATTGGGAGAAAAATTCTCAAAAAAAAGTTAGTAGTACATGCCAGTTCCAGTATAAATTCAGTGGTTTGTAGGGTCTGTAATGGTTTAGTTAAAGAGCATGAAAAGGGACACATGCTTCCTTTTCCCCTTATGTCTAACATTCTCATATTATTAAATTGTTAAGGCAATAGATTATTGATACATAGTATTTTACATAGAAATATGTATTTCTTAATAACAATAAACAGGATAGAAAGCATTAGTCTTTCCTTTTGAAGATTAAATATAACTATATTGCCCTGGCCAGTGTGGCTTTGAGGTTAGAGCGTCGACCTGCACACTGAAGGTTCACAGGTTCAATTGCCCATCAAAGGCACATACCTGGGTTGCAAGTTCGATCCCCAGTCTTTGTCATGGTGTGTGTGGGAGGCAACCAATCGATGTTTCTTTCTCACATCAATGTTTCTCTCTCTGTCTCTCTACCCCCTCCTGAAAGCAATGGAGAAAATATCCTCAGGTGACAATAAAAACAAAACAAATAAGCAAAAAAACTTAACTATATTAACTTGCTAACAATTTACCATGAAAGTGTAACAAGTAAAAGTGGACAAAGGTCACTGAGTGCGTAAATTATCTAGAATAACAGTACAGCAAAGCACAAAGCAATCCCTCACTCTTCATCTTTGTCCATGTCAATTATTATGACATTTTAAGAGAAAGTGTTATTTGGGGAATATCTTTACATTGTAAAAAGCATGCTCATTCAAGCAAAGAGGACAATAAACGCAAGTGAGTTGAGAACATATCTCTTCTAAAAGCACCCCTGTTTGTACTGCGTCTCTTTTCCAGAATACAACTTCTTGTCCATTGGTATGGTGATGCTAGGAAAGTTCGGGATCACCTCTGCTTTCTCCATGCTGTACGTCTTCACCGCAGAGCTCTATCCAACCCTGGTCAGAAACATGGCTGTGGGGGTCACATCCATGGCCTCCAGAGTGGGCAGCATCATAGCGCCCTACTTCGTGTACCTTGGTGAGATACATCGTATCATTTTGTTCTTTTTTTAAAATATAAAAGTAATATATTTTCATTGTGAAAATTCAAACAGCATAGAAAGTACTGAAAAAAAGTATAAGTTTATTTATTCTCTCTCAGCTCTCCAAATCACAGCCCTAAAAGTAATTAATATTAACAGTTTGATGAATAGCCCTACACATATTTTGCTTTATTATATATATATGTATATTTTTTTAAACACACAAACAAAATTATATATATAGTTTCACAACTTTTTAAACTTAATATTGTATCAGACTATCTTTATTGGTATATATATTTCTCTAACCTTTTTAGTTAGTAGCTAGTCTTCCAATGTATGTATATACATAATTTATTTAACTAGGTTTAATGGATGAACATTTAGGCCATGTCCAGGTTTTTGTTATTACAAATAATACTACAATGAACATTTCCCTATGTCCTACACCCTTTATTTGTTTGATTGTGTATATTTGGATTCGTGGGTTTCTTGAGCAATTTAAAAATGTTATAAAGCCCTGGCCGGTTTGGCTCAGCGGTTAGAGCGCCCACCTGCGGTCCGGAGAGACCCGGGTTCGGTTCCCGCTAAGGGCATGTACCTTGGTTGCAGTTTGTCCCTGACCCTGGTTGGTCGTGCGGGTGGCAGCCACTCGATGTGTCCCTTTCACATCGATGTTTCTCTCTCTCCCTCCCACTCTGTCTGTACAAAAAATGGAAAAATGTCCTCAGGTGAGGATAAAAATAAATAAATAAATAAATAAATAAATAAATAAATAAATAAATAAATAAATAAATAAATAAAAATGTTATAGATATTGCCAGATTGACCTATTGCCAGATTGACCTCTAAATATTGCACCCATTTACAATCTAACTATCAGTACATGAGCATGCCTGTTTCTCCATATCCTCACCAGCAATGAAAATTATCCAGTTTTTAATCATTGATAATCTGTTATGTGAAAACTGGATATCGTTGTTGCTTTCATTTTCATTTCTTTAATTATAATGAGGTTGAGTATTTTTTATATATATTTAACATTCTATTTATTTTTCAGTGACCTAACTGTTCATGTCTTTTGCCCAACTTTCTAATGGTTTTTTCAACATTTTATCTTTTTTAAAAATATGTTTTTTATTGATTTTTCAGAGAGAGAAGAAAGGAGAAAGAGATAGAAACATCAATGTGAGAAACATGGATTGGCTGCCTCCTGCATGCCCCCTACTGGGGATCGAGCCCGCAACCCAGGCATGTGCCCTGAACCCCAGGCATGTGCCTGATCCCCAGGCATGTGCCCTGAACCCCAGGCATGTGTCTGATCCCCAGGCATGTGCTCTGATCAGGAATTGAACCAGGACCTCTCATTCTATGGGACGATGCTCAATCCACTGAGCCACACCGGCTGGGCAACATTTTATCTTTTATTTGTGAGAGGTCTTTGTGATTAAAAAAAATTAGCCCTTTGTATATATGTTGTAAATATTTTGCCTAGTTTATAATTTACATTTTGACTTTATGATATATTTTGCAATGCAGGAAATTTTAATTTTTATATAGTCAAATTTATCAAAAGGAAATACCACCCCAAGGGCCTTTAGTGGGATGTTCAGTGGATGCAAGATCTGGCACTCCAAGCCTAATCTTCATTAAGGACTCTACTGATAAGAGATATAAATACACCTCCTTATTCCTCTTGGTCCTCCACTGGTTACCTACTAGTTCGAACACACACACATACACATCCCCAAAGAATATATGAATTCTTGAGAAAGGTACATTCGATCCTCACAGAGAAACTCTTTCCTATCTTAAACATCCTCTGCACAGCTGCCCTAAATAACACCCAAGAAAGCACAGTATTATGTGAAATGGTGTTGTTTCCACTTTGTTCTTCCCTATACAGTCGTCCCTCGTTTATCGCGGTTAATCCGTTCCAGACTCTAGCGGTTGCACCTGGCATTGAAGGATCCCTGGGGTGCTCGAATACATAGGCCTACAGTCCATACGTACAATAATTTAATTTTAATTTGCAATGCAGGGGTGTATAATTGACTCAGACAACTGAGCACACGCTGTATCATTTTCACTGTCTTGATCAACTTTTTAATGAATATATTTAAAAAGACCGTGATAGAGTGAAGCCACAAAAGTCGAAGCGTGAAGTGGTGAGGGACAACTGTACTTTCAAATCATGCTGATACAGTCTAACAGTGGACCACTGATACATGAAAAACGGAGAAGTCTGAGACAGAGCTTTCTATTTCAGTCGCTACTCCTGTTAGTGACACATAGGCCCCAGAAAAGTTTCGAGATTAATGGGGTTTTTTTGTCAAATGAAATTCTTGTGTGTGTTATTCCTCTGTAATCTCTATGCAGATGGGAAGCAAAATAAGGACCTATTATTCTCCTGAGTGACACTGTACAAAGAAGAGGTGGAATGATTCTTCTAATAATAAATAAAACCAAGACTTATAAATGCTGCAAAAAAAACCCAAAGCACTGCTTTCCTGGTGCCTGGCATTTATTGATTTAAATTGGATGGAACATATTGCTTAGATTTTTTTTAGAGTCTCATGATTCTGTGGACCTAGCTTTCCACCTCATCCTACTGGTTTGGGCCAAAGCAAAGGTCACACCAGTCATGATGGCCAGTACCTGTCCCTGAGACATCCTGGTCAACCTCTTTCTCTTTGATACCTTCCCATTCCCCCGTGTCCAATTCCCTCCACCTTCGAAGGAGAACTTTGCTAGGCAAGGATTTCTATCAAAGGAAGATCTGTCCCACGTGATTATATGGTCGCTTAGAGAATACCAGTTGACACGAAAGACCTTCTGATAATGCAGAATTAAGTAGGTAAATGATTGTGGCAATGCAGAGGCAATGGCATAAACCAAAAACAAATGGTATATTTTGCATACATTTTAACTTCTGAAAATGTTCTGATTTAGAACTGCTGTCAAATACTGTTTGCCACCTTTACAAAATGATTCTCGAGAGCTTCTGGAGAATCCCTCTTTCTAATTGGTGTCCCATGCCTTACAGGTGCTTACAACAGAGTCCTGCCCTACATGGTCATGGGCAGCCTGACCGTCCTGATTGGAATCATCACTCTGTTTTTCCCTGAAAGTTTTGGAATGACTCTACCGGAGACCTTAGAGGAGATGCAGAAAGTGAAATGGTAAGTGGAACTTTAAAAAATGATATCAAAATTCTGCAGAAAGAATAAACATGCAAGAATAGCTAGGAAGTTTCTCAAAAATAAGAGGAATAAGTGGAAAGTAGCTCTCTCATATAATAAAGTATATTATTATGCAGTGGTAGTAAAAACAATGATGCTAATGGTATGGGAATAGAAATCACTGGAATAGAGTTCAGAATTAAACCCAAGGAAATATCAGAGTTCAGTATATGATAAAATAGCAATTAAAAAGCAGTGAGGAAAAGTTAGATTATTCAGTAAAAGATATTAGAACATTCAACTAGCCATTTTGGATACATAAAAACTTGAATCCTACTTCAAAATGCATCCATATAAATTCCAGTAAGATTAAAAATTGAGGCCTAAAAAATGTAAAATTATAAATGTACCAGAAGAAAACATAAGTAATTTTATAACTTGCAAGAAGGCCTTTCTTAGCATAATATGAAAAACAAAGAGCCATAAAGGAAAAGACTGATATATCTAATTATGCAACTTTAGAAATTGTTGGCACAGAAAAAAAGAAACCATAAATAAAGGCAAAGGTCAACAAGCCAGGAGGAAAATATTTACAATACACAATATAAACCCAGGGCTGGTATACCTAATATTCTAAAAGCTCATGGTGATTAGTAGGGAAAAAGACAAACAAATCAGTAGGAAAACTAGCAAAGGCCATGACCTTCTGTAGTTTACAGAAAAGAACATTTCAGTGGTAGATATGTAGATAGATATATAGATAAATGAAAAATACTCATCCACATTAATTAAAAATATATGAAATAAAATAATTCAGTATAATTTTTTTGGCCTAAGAGCTTATGAGGATTTTTCCTCCTGATACCAACCAATTCTGACAGCTACTGGCCTATAGTTTAACTCAGTTCTTACACTAACTACCTGGAGTTTGCATCAGGCTCCACAGGTTTAAGGGTTCAATCTCCCAAGACTGCCCTTACTTCAGATGCCAGCCACAGGTGTCAGGTCCCCCGGTGATTCACACTTCTGTCCAACTCGGCTATGAAGATGGGTGTTTCCACAACCCCTCCTGAGTGACGACTGGTGATTTGCTAGAATTCAGGAAAACACTTTCCTTACTATTACTGGTTTATCATAAAGGATACAAGTGAACTGCCAGATGAAGAGGTACACAGGGTGAGGTCCAGAAGGGTCCAGAGTTCAGGAGCTCCTTCTGTCCCTGTGGAGTGGGGGAGTGCCACCAACCTGGCACATGGGCGTGCCCACCAATTCAGAGGCCCTCCGAACCCCAGTGTGTAGCAGGTTTTATGGAGGCATGGTCAGGTACCAATTCAATCTCCAGCCCTTCCTCCCTCCACGAAGGTGAGGGGATGAGGTGAAAGTTCCAGTCTTCTAATTAAGGCTTGGTTTTTCTGGTGACCAGTTCCCATCCTGAAGTTATCTAGCAGGGCTCAGCCAAGAGTTGAACAAAAGACAAGACACTCCTATTACCCCTATCTCTCAGGAAATGACAAGAGATTTAAGAGCTCTATATTGGGAATGGGGACAAAATCAAATATCTTTCTTCGATATCACAAACTGGCAAACAGTTCAAAGATAAGTGGTATGGTGGGAGAAATTTAGATTCTAGAATAAAACTGCCTGGCTTCAAACCCCACCTCTACTGCATAAAGTTGGGGAAATTAAATTTGGGGGTAAACTTAATTTTTACTAAACTTCAATATTCACATCAGTTATGTGGGGATAGTTCCTATGGCTATTGTAAGGTTATCACGTGTTTTTAGTGCCTGGCCATAATAAAGGTAGTCATGTGAATGAACTCTGATCTCTGCCAGAACACGTACAGCCAAAGGTGCCTATTTTTTTTTTTTTTTTTAATCCTCATCCGAGGACATTTTTCCATTTTTTGTACAGACAGAGTGGGAGGGAGAGAGAGAGAGAGAGAGAGAGAGAGAAACATCGATGCGAAAGAGACACATTGAGTGGCCGCCTCCCACACAGCCCTGACCCAACCAGGGCCAGGGACAAACTGCAACCGAGGTACATGCCCTTTAGCGGAAACCGAACCCCGGTCTCTCTGGACCACAGGCCGATGCTCTAACCGCTGAGCGAAACCGGCCAGGGCATAAGCTGTTTTCTTGTAATGATACAACCACTTTAATATCTACTTTAACTCGCCAAAAACTTCATTCTTACCAATCTAGCCTTTCCTTGGGGAAACTAAGAGTGTAAATTCTGGGTTTTGTTTATTAAGAAAGTGACTCCAAATATTCAAAATAATAAAATATTAGTTCTAGACCTCTGAGGTTCTTATTAGAGTTGCAATAATTACTTGTTCATTGACTGCAGAAATGTTTTTCAGTGTCAGTTTAGAATTTTGAATAAGAGAGTCGTGGATATTTCATTTTCTTTGGCACCCATCTTATTTTCAGGTTCAGGTTTGGGAAAAAAACAAGAGATTCAATGGACAATGAAGAAAATCCCAAAGTTCTAATAACTTCATTCTGATAAAATGTCTACCCCACCTGGTGAACTGAAGAACAGATGCATACGACTCTGAAGAAACCAGAGCCTTCCCTGATTAAGTGGACTGACTATTGACGGGCCCTGCTGCTGAGAAGTGCTTGTCATAGAGCAAATGCTGGACCGCTCTTCCAGATAATCTCCTTATGTTTTAAAAACTAACCATTTCTATAGAGTCCTCCTTACTAATTAATTCAGTGAAATGGGTTTGTAAGATTGTTTGATAATGTATTGGTTAAGGATTGGTCAGTTCACATAAAAATTAACACTCATTTCCAAACATACAACTGCTATCCCAAATAAAAAGAATGTCATTGTATTCACCCAACTGTCAGGTGACAACAGTGTGTGTGTGTATATATATAAATGAACCACCACATTCAAAATTATAGTCGTTTCTGCCGTGAACTCATCTATTGCTATAATCAGATGACTAGGCAGCATTCCTAGACAGAAAATTTTATACAACCCTTTGAGAGGAATTAATGGCAGATGTTAAGAGCGTTTTGCAAGAGATCAAGTAGCCTGGCTCCTGTGGCCTGTCGGTCTTTAAGAAGGGAAATTAAAGTGAACTGCCATTTGACCCAGTGATCACACTTCTAGGAATATACCCTAAGAAGCCTGAAACACCAATCAGAAAGAATATATGTACCCCCATGTTCATAGCAGCACTATTTACAGTAGCTAAGATCTGGAAACAGCCCGAGTGTCCAGTAGACAAATGGATAAAAAAGCAGTGGTACATATACACAATGGACTATTATGCAGCTGTAAGAAAGAAGGATCTCTTATCCTTTGAGACGACATGAAGGGACCTGGAAAGTATTATCCTAAGCGAAACAAGCCAAGTAGAGAAAGACAAATATCACATGATCTCACTTATTTGTGGAATACAGTGAACATAACAGTCTGAGGAACAGGGTAGACCCAGAGACTGACAATCCTCAGAAGAGGGGGTTGGGGGGAGATAAGCCACAGAACTTACATGCATGTACGCATAACTGATGGACATGGACAACAAAGCTGAGGGTGGGACAGGGAAAGATGGGGAGGAGGGTGTCAATGGGGGAAAAAGGAGAAACATCTGTAACAAAAATAAATTAATTTAAAAAAATTAAAAAAGAAGTGAACCAGTGCAGTTCCTAGCTACAATGTCAGAGCTATAGCTCACAGCCTATTGAAAGATCCACCTTTGTAGTCCTCTCTCTGAGCACATGACTACGCCTTCTGTTTCCTAAGACTGGCTTAAGAGATATTTTACTGGTAACAGAGAATCAGGAAAACCACAAAACAGATTGGTAGAAATGGGTTGTATGCCCCACAGCCCAGAGGGTTCAGCACCCAGGAAGAAAGCTGTCCAAGTTAACCATCTAGAGAGCCTTTTAACATAGTTCTTTCCATTAATACACCTTCCTAAGCACGGTGTGCAGCTGTATTCTTCCCCACCAGCGGTGCGTCTGATCAGCAATGGCAGAACCTCTGTTCCATGAATGAGCAGCGTAAAAGATAAAAGCTACCATAAGCTCAAAAAATAAATGTCAACTCTATGTTGTACCATGCTTTAGGCTGAGATGATAACTTATGAAGAAGTTATTCGTGAAGACTTGGGGCAGCATGTCTCTGAGAATGACCTTTGAACATTTCCAGGGCCACGGTGTGTGCACGGAAATAGGCAGCCACGGGTTTTTAATATGTTGCTTGGTGGCATCATCTCCTGAAAATAATTATCCCCAAATTCAACTTTCACTGTCTAAACATTCTTTTTTTTTAAGCTATTTTAAATTTTTATTAAACATTCTCCTAAAAGCATTATTTTACCCCATATCTTACTGAATTATAAGAAATAACATTAGCATTAGAGACAATTTTTTAAAAAGAAAGAAAAACTAGGGAGAAAGGTAAATGTGAATAATTAATTAAACTAAATATATGAAAAGGAAAATTATAACAAAGGACTGAGAGCTTTATAAACTTGAATTAATAAGAGATTATAATTTTTAAAGTGTGTATCTCAAAGCAAATTTATCGTTAAAATTATTTAAAACTGATTTTTTTCAAGAATGAAACTAATTTAAAAATCTTTTTATTTTAAATATAGGCTTGTGTTCAGCAATAAAGTTTTCCTCCAAGCTCTGATCATACTTCTTTTATTTAGATTTAGGAAGAAAATACCATTCTGATGGCACAAAATGCAAAATTAAAAAAATTTTAAATCCCAGTACAGAATTTTAAGAACCATCATTGAAAAATAGATTAAGGTTATTAAGTACAAAACATTAATTACTGGCCAGCTTCTGGTATTTTGTTTCCCCCCTAGTTCTCCCAAGGAAAACTTAAATTGAATCTTCAGTAGAATAATCCTTAAATATACTTCATAAGCAAAATGAGAGCTTTTGTTTACATCGTTTTTAGATTTTGCTGTTCCTAATTTTATTCTGAAACTCAATTTTACCCAAAACCACAATTACCATATTAACTTTGTAATGCACAGTTGTATGCAATTCAGCAAAGCAGTAGTATACCACAAGGCTCTATTCACCCAGAGCTTAGGAAAAACAGGACTGGTCACACCCATTTAAAAACAGATCTCATGCTATTTGCCAGTGCATGGTTTCAGTCTAAGTTCTGACAGTGAAATATATGAATATATATCTGTTAAGTCTTATGTTGATTCTCAAAGGTAGGCACAGGAACTTCACAGTTTAGCTTTGCCCAGCTGGAGTTGAAGGTTTTGTAACTTCACAGCCAGACTCATATTGCCAGTGATTTTCAATTTGCCTTGAAAGAAGGCCGACTGAGGATTCATTTTACCAATCATTAAAGCCATCAAGCCCGAGTCAGCCATTGTGATTGTGCAGTCAGCCTTCTTATCTGAGTTAGGAAGCACTGATCCTTTGCCATTCATCACATCCACCACCCAGGTGGCTTCTTTGCCCCCAGGGCCATTCTTCACCTTGTAGGCAAAAATACCTCCAATTTTCTTCACAGACTATTCCCCTTCCTCTTCAAGCTTCTTCTCAATCTCCTTAAAGACAAGATTTGCCTTAAATCCTTCAACTGCAGAGGTGGTTGGAGCAGACTCAATTTGATGAGTTCTGGCAGTCTCGGGAAAACCCATCTTGTAGATTGTGACAACTACAGCTCCTCCAAGGATTAAATTATGCTGCAGAGCAACCTTTGCCTGTCTAAACATTTTTCAAAGGAACCTTTGATGTAACATCTTGATATACTCCTTATTTTGAAATCCTTTTTTAGAACTTTTCTGGTTAGCTCAGAATTTGTTCTCTATACTGCCATATTTCTAACACATATTTTATATCCTACTGATTGCTTCTACATTTTGAATGTTATGTGTGAAATCCACTAGAATATCTTAGAATAGCTTATGCTTGGTCACTGGGGATACAGGTGAGCAGCTTTATCCAGCTAGTGCTTTTATCTCCCCCACTGATGCAGCCTGTACCACAGAGAGGAGGTCATGCTGACTCCCAAGAAGCTCTCCGTGAAATTCGTTCCCACCAGCAGTGACCATTCATTCACTCTGCTGTGCTCTTCTGGTACTTGTTACCCTCAGTCTTTTGGGCTCTATCTTCTTATTCCCCATCCCCATCCCCATGACTATTAGCTTCTGGGATGCCAGGGACCTTGCCCTGCTTATCTCTTGGTAAATATTTTAATGAAAATACTTTAGCCCTGGCTGGTGTGGCTCAGTTGGTTGGGCGTTGTCCCATGCACCGAAAGGTTGCTGGTTCAATTCTCAGTCAGGGCACAAACCCGGTTGCAGGCTCAATCCCTGGTAGGGGGCGTGCAGGAGGCAGCCAATTGATGTGCTCTCTCATTGATGTTTCTATCTCTCTCTCTCCCTTCCTCCCCCTTCCTCTCTAAAATATATATTTTTTCTTTATTGATTTTAGAGAGGAAGGGAGAGGGAGAGAGAGAGAGAAACATCAATGAGAGAGAACATTGATTAGGCGCCTCCTGCATGTCCCCTACTGGGAATTTGGCCCACAATCTGGGCATGTGCTCTGACTAGGAATTGAACCAGTGACCTTCAGTGCATGGGTCAATGCTTAACCACTGAGCCACACTGGCTGGGCTCAATATAGATATTTTTAAAAAAATACTTTATAACTCTACCTTGGTAAAAATGTTGTTTGATACATAAATATTTGAATATTTAAACACTTAAATATAAAACACTCTTAAAACTTTTTCTAAATACAAAAAAGTAAGGATGTGATAATTACCTTTTATTGCTATTTGTATGGGTGCTTTATATTTTATAATAGGAAGAGATGACTTTTTAAAAATCTGCTTATAAAAAGGCAACAAGTACCCAGTTGATTATGTCTTTGGTAGTTCAAAGACCAAGTCAATTAATTTTTAGTTAAATTCTAGATATATTCCTGATTTTTAAAAACTACTTTTAAAGTTAGGTCTACAAAGCAAGTTTCTGAACTTGCTTATGAATATCAATCTCAGACTGACAGCAAATATTACACTGTATGTTAGAGTAAAACACTAGAGGCATCCCCTTAAAACAAATTTTGTGGATACATGTTTTTAGCACCTTTTCAACATTTTTTAGAAAGTTTTAGTATCTGTAGTTATAGCATAAAATGTAGATAAGTTAAACTGGTAGAAAATAAAAGTATCAATATTGAGGGGCATATAATGATATTCTATTTTTTAAATTCAAGAGAATTAAATAAAAATTCTTAAACTTAATAGGTTCACCTTAAGTGGAGGCATATAAAAATTATTCACTTTTTAGGCACTAGAAATAGCCAGCTAGAAAATATACTACAAAAAAGTATAATCATAAAAACATAAAATACCTAGAAACAATCTTAATAATAAATGTATAAAACCTAAGTGAAGAAATGACTCCATTTTATTAAGACTTGAATCGAGTCATGCCATGATTCTGCCTGGGAAGAATGAATTCTCACCTAGTTTATAGGGTCCTCCTTTCTGACTTCATCTCCTATTACTCTCTCTAGTGCTTTCTTTTCTTTTTTAATTTTGTTGATTTCAGGGAGAGGAAGAGAGAGATAGAAACATTGATCAGCTGCCTCCTGCACACCCCATACCCGGGATCAAGCCCACAACCCTGGCATGTGCCCTGACTGGGAATAGAACCCACAAGCTCCTGGCACATGGGACATTGCTCAACCAACTGAGCCACATGAGGCCGGGCTCCATTACTTTCTTTATTCCAGCTACCCAGGCCTCACTCTTCTTTGAACATTCTAGACATTCTTCTGCAAGTTCCCTCTTACTGGAATGCTCTTCCCAGGTATCTACATAGCTTGCTCTTTTACTTCCTTTATGTCTTTGCT